TGTTCTTTGTGAGCCGCCCCGGGGCTTTGTTGCGATGGGGGCGGCATAGAAATGTTTTAAATAAATAAATACATGCTTCATTGCTGAGGTTGTGCAGTTTTGTTAAAAAGCTACGTCTAATGGAGCCTTCCTTTTAAAACAAGGCCTGGCTGGGGATGATGATGGTTGCAGATTTGGAGAGCATCAGGGCAGGGAAGGATAAAGGGTCAGAGAGGAATTGGTGGTGTTAGAAGAGTTGAAAATATATTCATTTCCCTAACAATCTCCTTGGGAAGGTTCCTTCAAGGCTTGGCTAGGGGTTTTAGTTTCCATTTTTGTTACCTGTATTGGGTGGACTGATGTGTAAATGTTAGTCAGGCTAGTTTGTTATCACAGGCAGAGATAACCAGGAAATTAGTTAACCCTCCTATGCTTGATGAGAAACCATTGGCACTTGAACTTGCTAACAGGCATTGCTTCAGCACAGACTGTGAATTCCATCTGGATACATTTAGGCTTAAACCCTTATCCATTTCTCTGATACAGAAAGTGATCCTGCAAGGGAGATGGCAGTGGAGTCAGGCTTAACTTGAATACCAGCACATCACACCCAATGTTCAAAGCCTGGGATGTTTCTAGGGGTGCAGAATCTGTGAGCCTCCAAATGTTATTAGACTACAGTTCCCATCAGCTCCAGCTAGCATGGCCAACTGCTCAGCAGTGATGGGGGTCATGGTCTGACAATACGTGGAGGGCCCAGGTTTCCCATTCCTCTTCTAGTGCACGTGACCTTGCCACTCAGCAACCAGGTGAGTGGTCCTGAATAACTGCTAGGCTCCATAAGTATGCCTGGTCTCCCATTATTATGTTGGATTCCTTTCTTTTTCAGTCCCAGCAGGAAGGATGGCGACTAACATCACTATCTCACCGGCTGGCACTGGCAACACCTCTGAGATCCTAGAAGCCTGGAGGCCAAGCCAGTCAGACAGAGACACAATGTCAAATTTCAAAGTGTTGTCATTGTGGTCCTCTTCCTTGTCATGGCATCATTGGGTTGCACCATGGAGATCTCCAAAACCAAGGATCATTTCTGGAAACACAAAGGGGTAGCTATCGCTGTGGCAGCTCAGTATGGAATTATGCCACCGATAGCATTTGCCCTGGGCAAGGCCTTCCAACTGGATCCGACCGAAGCACTGGCTGCTCTCATCTGTGACTGCTGCCCCGGTGGAAACCTCTCCAACATTCTCAGCCTGGCATCAAAAGGAGACATGAACCTCAGGTAAGCAGTGCATCTGACTGTGCTAGACAGTCAGGGGCAAAGCTACCTTAGCTGGGAGACTGGTCCTCGGTTGACTACAAGGATAGGCTTTTAATGTCTTTGAAAGAATTAAAATATCTAACCCATACTGGTCATTGCGACTCATGGACATATTGACTACAGTTGGAGAGGAAACATAGCTCAAGAGTGGAGCACATGCTTGATATTCAGAAAGTCCTGGGTTCAGTCTTTGGTATCTCCAGATAAAAAGGATATCAGGTACCAGAGCTGGCAATGCTACCTACCCAAGACCCATTGGAATGGCAGCTTTAAAACTGAAAAAAAAAAAAAGTAAGGAAACTTTGGCCCCCAGTTGAATGTTTCAAGGCAAAAACATGAGGAGTTTAAGATGGGAAAGGAATTAGAATGAGCCAATTGTTCAAAAGAAAATGCCCATCTCTCTAAGACTGGAGTGTTTTGCCACTTTGGAAGAATCTGTTGAAGATCAAAAGGATGAGAGGAAATCCGGAAGCAAAGTCACCTTGAGAAAACATGCATTATACTTTGAATCTTTAACATGACCAATGATTGAAACAAAGTTAATTTTTTAGATTAGGAACATGAAAGGCCTGGATCAAACAAAAGGCTCATACGGTCCACCATCCTAGTGTTTCCCTGTATTAAAAGTTAACATTGCTATAAATTGGAGAAAAGGGGAACTGCCTCATTCCTAGCACCAGTTTGTGTTTTGGAGGGCCCTGAACAGACACCCTCAATAGGCTCCTCCTTCAGTGAGTCTCACCACTCTCTGTAGGGGATGCTTGTTTGCTAGGCAGGCAGAGCGCCAACCATCAAGCAGACAGCGGCATTACCTGCTCCTCTGTCTCACCACCACCATTGCCTGGGCCAGACCAAGAGGCAGGTGAACAAGCAAGTTGCAGTGGAGGAGCAACTCCACTGGGCCCCTGCACACTCTCAAAGTTGGCATCAACCTTGCTCATATGCCCCATTTAAGATGGGGCGAGAAAAGCAGCTTCCTTCCTCAGAGATGAGTACATTGTCATGGTTGGCCCATAATCTGTGGGCCTGTATCTATATGCGTCAGCTGCTCCCAAAAGTGTTGGCTTATGTTCTATGGCGACTTGTCTCCCCCCCCCCCACTTCTATTTTCAGGCAGGTATGATCATTCTTCTTCTGTCATCTGTTCCAATTATTGCTCTGACTGTGATCCATGTTGGAAGCCGTGCCCTCTTGATCACTTTCGCTCCACGTTTGCTGGCAACATCTGCTTTGATGCCTTTTATTGGCTTCTCCTTGGGCTATGCACTTGAAATATTCTTCAATTTCAGTGATCCACTTGAAACAGTCTTCAATTTCAGTGATCGGTATGTCCTCCTAACCAAACCCAGTTTCTCTTTCCTTGAAACTAAGACCAATCCCAAAAGTAAAAGGGCTACTTGTTGGGCATTTCGTTGTTCTTGTGTTACTGATAATAATCAATCAGGCACTCCCTATGACAACCACCATATAATTGGCCTTGAACCAAGTGGAAGGAAGTGCTGTTAGTTACCACCCACACCCACATCTCCCTAGATCTGGATCTCAACAGAAACCCAATGGTTGGAGCCTGATGAGGCATAGCAGCCTGTCTTGCTCACCCAGGGAAACTGCTAAAAGTAATCCAAGCTACACCCTCAGGCTGGGGTGGCTGGCCCTCCCTTCACCTGCGCTTCCTTCAGACCAGGTGCTCTAACAAGACGCACCAACTTGACATCTAATGAATAGGTGACGTAAGGGGGTTACCAGAGGACAAACTGGATGCCATTGCATGCAGCATATACTGATTTGTATGTCTAATGGTTATAATTTAAAGAAAACTACAGTGCATCTCACCAGAGTATGGAAGACTGTGACCAGTATGCACTTTGTCGTTTGCTGTTCACGTGTTGTTTGAGAACAGCTTCAAGGCCCTTATTTTTCTCCTAATGGTTCGATGGACTGAAGTCCCTTCACATAGGAGGATACCTTTAAAATAGGAGTCTTCTGGCAGCCTTTCAAATAGTGTACTGTAAAAGCAAACACCCCCCCCACTGTAAAAACGTTACATTTGTCAATGGGCAGAAGTGGTAGCAGCTCTGCTTCCATAATGCCATACCAGGTTTTAATTATATTCAGAAACAACTATGAAGCTTACATCATCTCCACACCAATAGTCTTTCCCCATTTTAAACCAGCAAATACATCAGTTTTTCCTACATTTTGCTTATCCTTTTACCATTGTTCTTTTGGTATTATCCTAGGGCAGTAACTTTTGTCTTCCCTTCAGATGTTTTGAACATCATTCCCCATCAGCCCCAGCCAGAACAGCCTATCAACAAGAATGTTGGGGGTTATAATCCTAAACATGCTATTCTAAGGAGTTAAGGGGCTAGGTTGTTTCTTGGCAGGGTTGAACCAGCTGAGTGTCACTTCCCATTTCTTAAATGTTGAATCAGTCTTCTGCAAGAAACTCCACTTATGAAAAGTCCCTCAATGCACCATTTGGGAACTCTCCCACATAACACAGTTCACCCCATTTAGCAGGATCTCCTGTCTACATGAAATGTTAAAAGGATTAGAGGGACCACAGCAGGAAGGAATAATAGGAGAATCCTACTTCCACCAGCACCGTGGAGCCAACACAAATCTGAATCCTCTTAAACATGATGAAGAGTTACTTGTGCACATTGTTACTGTGGGCAGAACCATGTGATCGTGGGAAAATGCCAAAGGGCTATGCATGTAAATATGGCCCCTATCAAAAAGCAGCATGTCACTGTTTCCTCCCTAGGTGCAGACAGACCATCTGCCTAGAGACTGTATGCCAAAATGTGCAGTACCATTCTCAAGATAGCCTTTCCCCCTGGAGTCATTGGGTCACTTTTCCTCTTCCCTTCTATGCATCTGATGTTCCATTTAGTAGAGGGACTTCTTAGTGGCAAGCTTCAGAAGCCATGAAAAGATTACAGCATCAAAGGGCAAGCAGCACTTTCAAAATTTCTTCCTTGGCATCGATAGTGACAACTTAATCCCAAGAACAATATGCTGTGCTGGCAGATCAGAGTCCCACATGCATGTTCTCCCACTCAGCATCTCAGCATGTGTCAGGGAGCAGAATTTCTGTGAAGTTGGGAAGCAGTTTATAACCTCTACGCTGCTCAAGTTCTCTGCAACAGGGTCACTTTGGCCAGAACTGGTGGGAAGGAGCTTTAACCTCCTTTACCCTTTCAATGTATCACTGGTTCCAGACTTATCCCCCCTAGCTCTACTTGTGATGCCTGAAGGAAAAAGCAAAAGAAAGCAACTAGAATAAAATGGCCACAGCAAGTTCCCGCCACATGTCTCACATGCAAATTATAGGTGGTATGGAGATAATGGTTGCTTCAGGATGTCCCATGGATTTAGGGACACAATGCTAAACTAGTAGGGTTTTTAGTCTGATCAAGAATCTTTTTTTAGAATTCAGGTTGATCTAGAAATGCAGCAGATATGCATTCCTGGTTGTAAGTTAGTTAACAAAATACAGAACTTGCACACTACCCAGTAACGAATTAGATCCATTTCTTCATGTTTTAGACTAAAACCTCACATTGATCTGTACCTAAAGTTGTCTACTTATAAAATTATGCAGCTTTAAGAAAGTTAAAATGTTTCACCAGTTCATTAGTTTTAACCACCATTGGTGGAAACCTCACCAAGAAGGCAAATAAAACAGCAGCACTAAAAATCTGAAATAAAGCTTTATTTACAGCTGGTGTAGAGCTCTATAGCCAACTGAAACATTTAACACCATGAAATGCCAATTACTAGAGTACATTGAGAACTAAAGTGTTCAAAAGTAGGTTTTTTAAAATACAAAAAAATTAAAAGTTTCTTCAAAGAGCTCTAGCAATATATATAAAGCTATGCACTTTATGAAGTGCGCAGGAAAAAGATTATCAAAAAGACAATACAATTAGTTCAAATAACTTCTCCGTGGTCCACATATACAACGCTGTTAACCCCCCTCCCCTGTTCAGTCCCTCTTTCCCAGAAGTCACATACTTACCACAACTACTAGCAAGTATGATTTCAAAGTCCCCAGGGCAAGCTATTTATAGATCAGTTGCCACTATCAACAGATCTTGACCTTGAGCGTGATCTCTGGCGATCCACAGAAGCTGGGGACTTTGATCTACTCGAAGAAGCACGTTTTTGACTCTTTTCAGGGGCAGGAGATCTACTAACTGAACGTGACTTGCTTCGGCTCCTGCTCCTGGATCTGGTGTAAGATTTGCGGCTTCTGGAGCGGGAACGGCTACGAGACCTTGATGAACTCCTGCTACGGGACCGAGACCGACTTCTGGACCTACTAATAAAATTAAGTGACTTCTGTAGACAATTAAATGTAAAGAATGTGCACATTCTTAGATTGACTGTTATTTCAGAAATCTAGCACTTATGAATTTGAGTTCTTACCTATGCCTTTTGCTGCCTTCAATTAGTTTAATTTTCCTCCCATTAATTTCTTTGCCAGAAAGTTTTTCAATAGCATTCTTTAAATCACTGTAAGAGGCAAACTCAACCACCCTAAAAATAAGACAAGATAATATGAGACTGAGTAGTTCCAAGCACTTTAAGACAGTACATTCTTCTACTAGGGTCTTCCCCTTATACTATATATCACAATATGTAACACTGAAGATATTTACCCTTCATTTAATTTAGGTCTATGTGCATCTGCAAAAGTTACTTCCCCAGCTTGTCTCATGAAGTCTTTGAGATCCTAGCACAAGATGAAACATGTTAGACAAAGAAGTAGACACATTTGTAAATAGTATTTTAAAAATTACTACTGTAAGAAAAGATGTTAAATTAAAAGGTGGCAAATGCCACACGTGAAGATAATACTATTAATTGATAGAATTTATCAGGGCACGAAATAAATGAAAACAGCACATTGCTTAAAGCAAAATGCGCAATTTTAACATTAAGATATTTGTTTATATATTTTACTGAACTGAATGCAAGACATTTATCTGTAGCAAAGGATTGATATTTTATGAGTAAACAGTATATTTACAAAAAAACAAACAAAAACAAAAAACAAAACAAAAACAAACAAACAGTTATTTTGTGCCCCATATGTCATTAAAAATATAGTTTACTTTACCTTCATTAAAATTTCCCTAGGCTAGCCAAGCAGCAAACTGCATTAAGCGATCGAAGATACCGTCATGGTACATGCCCGACTGGCTCTTCGCCAACCATTTGAAGAATACTACCCAGTCGATGGAAGCCTTTAATCGCACAGCCCTCCCTATTAGCAGACTACTGTCGGATCCAGACATTCTCTAATCTTGTGAAGTTACACCAAGGACCACTTTACTGCGATCAGGATTCCAACGACCACCTAATGCGTATCTTTCAACTCTCTCGATCACGATCTCTTATTTCGAAGCGTTACAGGAGGTACAGTTCACAACTTAGGAATCAGATCTCGTTAACTTTCGGGGATCGCTGCAACCCGCACTTTAAGGAAGTGCATCGATTACGTCTAGACCGGCAAACACAGATCTAGAGGTGGCCAACTGATACACTGGAGCAGCTGACTGGATAAGTCAACCAGGCCCAACCAAGAGTGACCAAGACAGAACGATTAGGATAACCCACAGGCACTCCTCGTCATAAGGCCAACGACACAGATAGGCTGGCAAATAAAATGGATTTTTAAAGTGGTTAAAATGGATTTTGAAAACAAGGTAAAATTACATTAAATTACTACTATTAATCTACTTTTGAAAAATGTATTTAAACATTAAGTATTAATAATTTTGATAATGCTTTAACTTAAGATAAAAATTAGTTTTAGTAAAAAAACATTTTATATATTACATACCCATTTAATGTAGTCTAAGAGATAATCATGTTTTAACAAACCTGCCAGCTGACTCGGGATGACAAGTTTTCTACAATGAGACGATTTTCAGTTCTTACAGGAGGAGCATTTCTGATGGGGACAGAAATGTTTTGTTCAGTAATTATACCTACTGGACAACAAAACAAGAACCAGCCAATCCCCACAGAATATTTAGCTCTAGTCACACCTTCTATCATTTCGTGGACGGCGGCTACTAAAACGGTCAGAATAACGTCCTCTTCCTCTTCCACCTCTAGAACGGGCCCTTGCATGTTCAATTGTAACCCTGGAGTGAAAAACTATACTTAAGCCATTTTATTTAACTGCTTTGACTTACATGAAACAAACTTATTCTGCTAGCAAGTGTTAACCTGTCATAAAGGATTACCTTTCACTACAAAGCTCTTTTCCATCCAATTCATAAACTGCATCATCAGCATCCCTTGGATCTTCAAACTCCTGTTGTAACAAAGTTATTTTAATCAGAAATTTCATAAATGATTGTAACAAATTATTATAAAGTCAGGAACAAAGCTAGTCAACTGATACATAGGCTACAGTCTTATGTATTTATTCTATATCCCACAACTTATTGAACTCAACACAACTTATGTTTTAAGTGACAGATATATCTAATTGCTCTGACAGTTACATTGATCTGGCATCACTTATAGTACAAGCATATTTGTATTAAAAATGTTGAGTAATTCACCAGTAAGAGTAAAATGGTTACATCAAAATTCCCAAATCAGTTTTCCCCGTTTACTCATTCATAAAATCTCATTCCAGATCTTACATTGCACTTTTACTTACCACAAATCCAAAGCCCCTTTTGAGATCAATGTCTCGGATGCGTCCATATCCCTTGAAGAATCTCTCCACATCCTTCTCTCTGGCTGCTGGATTGAGCCTCCCAATGAATACACGACAGCCACTCATGGTATCACTGTAGATACGACAGAAGCGTTAAAAAGGCAAACCGTAAACAGAGCCGTTCTAGCTCCGGCAATCCAAGGCGCACGAGAAGATGGCCGACAGAGAAATACGTCAGCGGCTGGTACCGCCCGCCCGATAGACTTTGCCGCAGTCCCGGCTCCGCCCCTTCAATGCCGCAGTCTGACATCAGGCGAGGCCGAGCGCCAAGCAAGCCCCGCCCCACCGCCTACTCCTCGTTCGAGCGCCGCCTCTCGCCGCTCCAATCAGGAGCCAACGCGTCTGCTCCGACGTTTATGACATCCCGCCCACAGCAAGGCCTCGAAGCAAGCCGACGAGCCGCGCATGCGCTGTCCGGGATCTGGGCGAATTTAAGTCGACGCCATCACTGCTATAAAATGGCGGCAGGCCGCACCCATCGTTTTGGACCCGATGTGAACCCTGGCTGAGCACCATTTTTTCGTTCCGTGAGAAGTAAGGCCATGTCCACCCACCCTTCCAGAACAAGCAGAATACACCCTAGTTTTTTCCTCCCACAACTAACAACTTGGAAACAAGATCTTACGCGTCCCCCACGGTTGAAATTTATGTTTCTCACAACGACCCTACAGTCCCGCTTCCGAAACTCGCCCCCACTGCATAGATCTACTAATTCTTCACAAACCTGCGCTTATGATCTCTGTTCTTGGCGAAAGCGACGGATTTTCGAAGAACCTGCAGTATCAATCCGTCCCCTTCAACGTCCAATTCCCGACTGGCCGATTCAATCGCTAACGGCGCCAGAAAATGGCATCTACTACCATGTGACCAAGACGGCACGTGACGCTCTTGCTGCTCAACGATAGGTGGACAGCAATAGAAGAATCTAGGTCAGCCGTGGGGGCAGGGCTTTCGGCTCAGCTGAGTCACGGGACAAAAGGAGGCTGCACGGGTCGATTGGTCTCTGCGCGTGCGCAGTTGAGTTTCTCTCCGATCGGCTGATTATTATTTTTTCCCAGCAAGTCGAATGATGGGCAAGAAAAATTCCTGACTCAGCTCTAGCATGTGTGCATAAGCATTTTTAAGTTTCGTTGGCGAGTGAGAGTGTAATTACAGAGGCAGCGATACAGAAGCGGGGCCGGGGGGCAGCGAAGGCGCTGCTTTTCCGGCCTCGAGGTACATACTGCGAGCCTGCTCAGCTACCTGCAGCCTCGTCCGCTGGCCGGGGAACCCGGGCAGCGTCTTCTAAACTGGCCGAGCGCAGCTGCAGTCATGTTTATTATTTTTTCCTTGTATATCTATACCGCCCAGGAGCCGAGGCGGTCTAGGCCGTTTACAGCAATTCATTTTATATAATAAGACACATTTTAAAATGCAAACCATGATAAATCATAAGCTCTCACTATCGAAGTTTAAAAATAGGTATGTAAGCGACTTCAGTAACTAAATTCCACTGGACTTAATCCCGTATGGTAAAAGGTCTGGGATTTCAGCCTGCTCCCCAAATGCAGACGGAAATGCTTCAGGATCCGCTCGGCCTGTTACAGCTGCCAAGCGGGCACCTTCCTCCATGATAGGGCCTCTGCCACGTGAGACAGCCTTTCTTACTACCAAGACAGCTGCCGCCCAATATTCTGAACAAGCCACTTTATGTCCCGGCTTCCAGCTCCTTTTTTGTGAATGCCCTGAACCTCTCCAGCCAGCCCCTTCGCACAAGATCACGTCTTGGTTTCAATTTACACTTAGTTGCGAAATCTTAGCCAAGTGTAGCAGGACGAAAAAGGCTGCAGCTTGAAACTCCTGTTAACCCGTTGCTGTAACATTTCATTCCTAATTTGGAGTTTTACTTCTTGATCGTAAGGTAAAACACAAAACTTTATAAAAGTCTACAGCCATGATTTAAAAAGCGTTCTAAGTATATCTATTGACTCCAAACTAAAACAATAAAATACAACAAGATGCATAACAAGCATATGTGGAGACTTTAAAACTCCGAAGTCATTACAAATATATTTGTAATTTTAGCTGCATTTGTAGAAAAAACCTGCACATAGATGAAGGGATTTGTGGTCGAGAAAATATCTAGCAAATGGAATGTGTTCTAAGAGGTACACTTCAGATTGTATTCGGTATAATAATGTGAGGTCCTTTAGCAAAAGAGGCACTTACAGTTCTTTCCATATTGGATCCCCGCCTCATTTTGGCTTATAAAACTTAGTAGGGAGGGAAACGGGGCAAGAAAGATGGCTCTTAGTAAGAGGGAGTGGTCCCATGTCCTCTGAAAGAGGAGGTGTGAGGCCACTCCCAAAGAAATCTTCCCTAAGCCTAGGTGATTTTAACAACTCTAGGTTGGTAGCACATGTTCCTTTCCTGGGCAAGGCCTTTGAGTGTCTGGTGATCAACCAGTTGCAGGCACTCTTGGATGAAACTCACTGGGTCCATTTCATTAAAGGTTCAGGCTGGGTCTTGGTATGGAAAAGGCTGTGGTCACTCTGTATAATAACTTATGCACGGAGAGAAACGGGGATTGTGACCCTGTTGATACTCCTGGAGCTTTCAGTGTCTGTCAGCACCAATCAGCCATGGTGCCCTTCTGGGGTGACTGTCTGAATTGGGAGTGAGGGGTTCTCTGTTGCAATGTTGCAGCTAGAAGGCCAGCTGGAGAAGGTGCTATTTGGGGACTATTGCTTGACCCCATGGAATCTCCAACTTGGGGTCGCCAGAGGTTGGTTCTTTGCTCAAGTCATTCAAAACTGCTGAGTGAGGTCAGCCAGAGTTTGGGAGTCAGCATACCACTGCTGTGCTGATGACATGCAGTTCTCCTTCTCCTTTTCATATTTATCAGGTGAGGCTGCAGTTGTGCTAAATACAGGGCTACAACAAGAAGTTCAGGCCAAACATGCTTGTTGGTAGAAGGTTACTTTGAATGGATGGAGGGTGCTCAGTCTGTTCTGGATGGAGTTGCACTCCCCTTGAAGGAGCAGGTTCATAGCTTGGGGCTTCACAACTTCATTGACCACAGTGGCACGGAGTGCCTTCTAGCAGTTTTGGCTGGTGGCTCAAGCTTCACCCAGCTCTGGACAGGGATAACCTGGTTTCAGTCATCTATGTGCTGGTACCCTTTGAGTTAGGTTACTGCAAGGCATTCTGTCTGGAGCTACATTTGAAGACTGTTCAGAAGCAGCAGCTTGTGCAAACTACAGAAGCCAGGCTAATGACTGGGACCAGAAGATATGAACATAAAATCCTTATTCTGGTCCACTTGCATTGGCTGCCTGGTTTAAGGTGCTGGTGATAATCCATAAAGCTTTTACATGGCTTGTGACTGCATTGCATCATGCTGCACTTCTCCCAGCCTGAATCTACCCTGACAGTATAAACATCTGAGGCATTCTACCAAATGCCATCTCTAAGGGAGGCGCATAGGGTGGCATCAACAGAGAGAGCCTTCACAGTGGTGGCCTCCTGATTATGGAATATGCTCCTCACTGGGGCCTGCCCGGTGCTGATGTTGTCATCTTTTCAGCACCAGGTTAAAACTGCCCTCCACTCCCAGGCATTTAATGGTATTTAATGTCATCTGATGGGACATTTATTTATTTATTATTACTGAATTTATATCCCCCCTTAATAGTCCAACAGGGCTCTCTAAGTGGATTTATGTCAACTGTCCTTTAATATGCCTAGAATTTTATTGAAGTTATTTTTTGCTGTTTCAATTGTTTTACATTTTGTATATTGAAATTGTGTGACATTTTATTATCTGTATTTATGCTTTGTAACATTGTGAACTGTTACTGTGTAGAATTGAATTAATAATTATCAATAATTTAGCCTAACTGATTAACTTTAGGGTGGGAATGTTCCCATATATCATAAACCTGCAATGATATAGAAAGGTAGACAGACAGACTTTGTTATAGTCAAAGACTAGCTCAATTTGAGTAAATAAATAGATTTAAAAGGAAAGAAAACACGTTAAAAATTAACTGTCATAAAACCCCACTTGGATTAGTCGGCACTTCAGCACAATGTACTGCTGCTATAATTCATATTCATCATCTTGAGTAAGTGGCATTCCCAGACGTTGATTTTCATCTAGCTAAGTAGAACCACATCCCTCAAGATCCTTCTTTGGACACCCATCACGGCCACAAAGCATTTAGTGACACTGTATGTTAGCCTCAGATTAGTGTTAGACAGCAAAATAGAGACCTGTTGTCCCATACGGCCCGGAAAGCAATTCATCAGTGGGGAAATGAGTGCAGCGTGAATACCCCTGTAAAATGTGCTCTGTAGTTTCATACTATAGGGGCAAAGGTGCTCTGACCAGGGGATCTTTTTATACTGTTCCTCCAAAACTGCAGAGGCAAGACCATTAAGGCAGCCAAGGTAAAAGCCCTTCTGTGTTTGAGATAGGGTACAGCTATTGCAATGTGTCTACATATAGTCTTCCCTTAGAGCAATGATATGCAGAACTTAAAACAAATGTTTTGGCCTGTGATGGTAAGCCTGTCTTGAGAAACGTGTTTCCAAGTGTCTGTTTTTTAGTTTTCTGTTTTAATTGAGTGTGACTTGATACAGCCAGTGCAGCATAGATGTTGAAGTCCAGCCCAGCCATATGAAGCTCACTGCGTGACTCTGGGCCAGTCACCAATTCTTAGCCTTCTGCCTCACAGGGTTATTGTGAGGATAAAATGGAGAGGAGGAATAGGTAAGCTGCCTTTGGTTCCATGTAGGACAGGATATGGATATATAGATATAATCCAGCTACTGTATATTTTGATCCTCAGTTGTCAAATATTTTCTAGCTTCTCATTCATACCCTGGAGGTCTTTCTCATAATAACCCACATGATCCTTCATGAGATAGTTCTGCCAAAATTCTGAAGCAGAATCTAGCTCACATCCTTACTCTTAAGAGACCCTCTGCACCATATTATGCTATTTACATTGTGCTAGACGTGACTTGCGCTGGTGATGTGTTAATTGCATAAGTGCCATGGCCCTGATTGCCCTAAAAATGAATTCCAGATTGCTGAGCTGCTGTATTTGTTAAAAATCAATCGCAAAAGAGCCAGACTCTTGTTTCCTATGTGCCTTAGCATCCCCAGCAATTGTCATCACTAGTGCAGAGTAGCATTAGCAAAACTAAAAAAGGCAAATTCCTACCTAGGGAATTACAGTTTAAATTTGCATAGTAAGAGAAACAACTGGCGGGGAGGGGGTGCTTTCTTGCTTGCTCTAACTTGTTATAGGCGTTGCTTCCAATTGTAGCAGCGTCGAGCATATTAAAAAGAATGTTTTCATGCATTCTTTCAGACCTCTGTGAATTCATTGTCATATTCTTCATTATTTTGATGCCTTAAGCTTTAGCCTCCATGAGTATTTATGAGCTTCCAGCAACAGTTAAAGCAAATGCAGGCTTTGTAAAGAAGTGGAGAACAGCCCATAATGCTTTGAAGACAAGCACTGATACTACATGGGCTTGCAGCAGAGATCAATGTGCTTTGAAGGCCAGAAGGAGCTGGCATGAACTCTAGCACACACATGAATCTCCTGGCCTGTGCAATCCTGCTCGCTTCTACAGTTGTGCAAGTGGTGTGTGCTTTGCTAGACCCGCCATAGCCAGTCCTCTTGCTCACACACACTTTTGCCTTTGATACAGATTGGCAAAGAAAATCAGCACTGCCTGAAGATACACACAGCATACACCACAGCAGTTGCACACATTAGATCATATATAGCTAGGCTAGGATCTGTTCAGTGCAGGATCAGAAGGATGGTAGCCAGTTAGG